TTTTGGCCGATGTTCACCGCTCTCCGCGCCGGCATTCACTCTCGCCACCCGCGAGCCGTCTGTGTCTCCGTGCGTACGTTCACTCTCGGCATTACTCTCACACGCTAGAGAGCCATGCGTTGGACTTTGTCCAACGGACGGTTGACCCTGTTTGTGTGACCAGCAAAAATTGACCAAACTACTGTCTACTATTGCATAATCGGAGAATTCCGACCCGATGGACCTGTAGTCAGGGCCAAAAGTTCGTAGTCCAAGGGGGGGGGGGAGGTCGTATTGACCAGCGGAAGGGGGGTCGTATTCGCTGGATTCAACGTCGCAATGTGTGGAATGACGAAATGTAACACAGATGTGAATAAAGCTCTAGGCTCAGGCTCACAGCTTTGAACGATTAGAATCAAGACATTTGCTGTCGGTAGGTGAGGGGTATAACTTTCGAATGCTTCTCAACTATTAACCACAAACGAGTGCATGGCGCACCTCAGAGCAGAATCTACTGCAGAAGTGCCCTACCTGGCTGCTAATGTACCAATCGTTCTACAGGAGATATAATGGCTCCAAAGTGGGCCTGAGTTACTAAAAGAATGACCACAGATTGACCGCTAAAGGCTTACAAGAAATGTTTGGAATGAAAGCGATTTGTCTGTCAATGACCTTCTGAAAAGAAAATATTATCTCTCATGAGAGCGGAAGTGGTGTAGTGGCAAGTGGCACGCTTACCACGCGAGCGGTCCGGGGATCAAATCCTGGGTCGTGAGTCGTTCCGGGCCAACCAAGCCTTCCATCCCTACCGCGGTCGATCGATCATCGGCAGATGCCTTATCTTTTATCCTTTCATATTTTGTGAGTAAAAAGCCAATGCTTTGTCATAGCGATCATTGTACCCCATAAAATTGAGTCTGAAGGGAGCGGTAATTATTTGAATGTTAAAAACTCGAGCGTTCAGGAGAGTAGCTCCAAAATCTCGTAAAAAACGGTCTAGCGAGGTGATTTTTTGAAGCGAGCAATTTTTTCTGAGGTCGGTTATCTGATATAGACTTACTTTTGCTGGCAAGGTCTGAAAATTTGCTGACCCTCGGTTGACCTGACCAAATCTGCCCATGTAATTCTGAAGGGATTTGGGACGTGTAGCGCATCTCAAAGGGCCGACATGCACACACACTTCGCCTGTTCACCTTTTTTGAAAGCATTGGCTGCTGCAGGGTTACTCATCCTTTTCTAAGCCGAGCATTTTCTGATTAACCGCATTCAATCCAAGACTGTCCTGCAAGTTGCATCTAGCTGTGTTCCTTTACCATTTCAACTCGTCCTCTCTCGGGATTCCCTCACTTCTCAATGCCCCGATGCGAAACAAAAAGCTGCCTTATCAGGCAAAGAAGCGTAGATGGAAAGGGATGGGTCGGGTCGCTTTTCTTAGAGTGTGTCACTAATCAAACAGACTCCCGAACTTTTCACGGCTCCAGTATGTGATAAAAGGCCGACACATAACGGTTTATTATCGTTCTGTTTTACTGCCACATAAGCAAATACGTGGCAGGTCGGTTTTTACTCGAACTTTCTCCACCAGTGATGAAAAAATCAAAGAAATGCGTCAAAAGCGCAAAATAAACCTTTACCCATTGCCCCGACAGTGGACGAGCCAGCAATGCCATCAAAGCCCATGCTCTCATTGATAACACATTCGGCAGAAAAGTTAGAGAATACAGCTGCTCAAAGTGGAATCCCCTTTCAAAATGATCAACGAAAATGCTGTTGCTTGGAACATCACTGGCGGAGCGGATGTCGAAAGGGGGAGCAGGGTGAAAATCGTGTCGAGTACGTGGTCGCAGAAGTACGACCCCCCCCCCCCGAAATCGAGATCCTGGCACGACCCCCTAAAACAGAGCAAATTAATTCAATTAATTAATCAAAAAAATCCTGCAAAATAATGTTATGGACGCCTCATCTTGTCATCTATGCACTGTCTTTCATCGCTGCACACTTTTGTGTATTTACTGAAATATCGACTCGAGGAAAGAGGCATTAACTTTGTGTGACCTCAAAGTCAGGTTCGTTCAGAAATGCACAGAAATCCTGAAGGCACGGGATTTAATCTTATTCCTGCTTGAGTATATCGAAACAGCCGAGTGTATCAATCAACGGCCGATTCAACGGCAGCTGCGGCGCGATTGTCACTGGGTCAGATTTGCTGAAATCCCGAAAAAAAAAACCGTCGAAATCTACACCCTCGATGAAAAGGTTGCATTCCTCCATTTCATAACCTTTGAAGCAGTTTGAGGTAGGTTAGATAGAGCTGGATTTCGCGTTTCCAAGAAGTATTGAAATTGCTCTGAAAGTCTTCCATGCAGAAAGATAGGGTCTCTCAAATTTCGTCGAGTAAACGTCGAGGACGCCTGAAATTTTCATGCTAGTTTTTGCCACTTCAAAAGCAATATCTCTCTAATGTCGTAAGATCCTGAAAAAGGGAAGATAGTTTTGGAAAGCGGAAGGTTTGCGCTTTCTTTCTTCTTCTATTTCCTAGTTGAGAAGATATCTGCGTCGAGTATGTAACGAGGACGGATCCGGCCACCTGAAAATCCGCTCCCTCCTTCACCATTGCAAGTGTGATTCGTTGGCAACACTCGGAATGTGTTGCGAGCGGAAATTTTTCAAGGAAGCGAATAAGAAATAGAAGCGCTTCACTGTTTTCTCGCTATCTAAGAGTTGTAAATAGAAAGAGAGTCTAGAAGTAAAATGATAACTAATGGATCTGAGTATATTTTTTCACTGGACGCACCAACAAAGGACTTTTGAAGTCCCAGTACATAGAAATGACTAAAATACCATTTTTCATGACCATTACATCTTCTTTTGATTGGAATTTCGCGACTATATACTCGATTATCTTCTACGCACTGATTATTGCTGAAATGGTTTCGTACACTGGTGTTTATTGAAGTAACCAGCGTCAAGAGAGAATCTACAGGTAATGTCCCGGAGAAGTTACAATACCGCCACTAACTTTTGAAATTTCTCCGCTGAGCGACGGATTTGCAGCGTCGCAAAGCGTCGCCCCTTCATAACTCCCCCCAAAGCGGGTCAAATGATTGGTGCTCTACACCATTGGACTCGTCTCTCTGTGGCGAGTCTAACCATGTGGAAAACTACGGTACTCGCCGTAAAAAATCGAAAAAAACACGCGAAAAACGCAAATTCGCGTTTCTTTTTCGTTTTTTCGTTATAACTCGCTTCAGAATCAAGATTTTCGAAATCTGAAAAAAGCGTTGAACTCAGCTCGTCGAGTTCTATAAGAATATGCTTTTAAACTTTTGGAAAGCCTTACCTCAGATTGCGCCATGCACTCGAGCTTTGGCTCGAGAAAAAACTGTTTGAATGGCTGGCAGTAATTCCCGCTATGATCGATGATCGTTTCAA